CTCTTCTCTTCTCTTCTCCTTCTCCTTCTCCTTCTCCTTCTTCTTCTTCTTTTGCCTATATTCTTTTTATTTGACAAATACAAAATATGTAGCTCCACATTAGTTTGTAGTTAGTGATTCTGAAACATGATATTACATGGGGAAGAAATGTTCCAAAGAGTTCTTAGTTCACTTCAAAACTTCTTGGAAATAATCTTATTCTTCACACACAAAATAATCATTTAACCCACTAATGCTGGTATATTTTGAAGACGAAAATAATAGTTTCTGGGCGGCTCCAAAATTGGCGCGTGGGGCTGGCCCGGAACCTGCCTGTGCACTGGCAGCAGCCACATACTGAATCAGAGTGCAAGCTCCAATCGAACGTCAGATGTTTATTTTTCTGGGTGTCTCATATATGGGACACCCGTCGTAAATGGGTTAAATATTGATCAGTAATCCGTTCCTTCCACATTTTCTGTTTGTCTTTCCTCCCACCTCCCTGTAGGTCTACTGAATATCAGCAAGTGATATTGATGATGGAGTACATTAAAGCTAGGTTAAGCATATCAAAGTTAATTTTCAGAGGCAAATGTTTAACTGTGTTAAAAATTCTGTGTAATAGTGCAAATTCATTTTATGGATTTTATGAATGTTAATGTTTTAAACAGTGCAAAGCCTTCAATAAACTTGAATAATGGTTTCAGATGATGTATTATGAGAGTTCATGCAACAGGCTTTTTCCGCATATATTTATGATTTTCACTTTTTTCTTTCAAGTGAAAATATTTGGTAATGAGTGATAATGTTTGCAAGTTTGTATTTTGATTTGAATGACAGCTATTCATAAATATGGCAGTGATGTAATACATGTTTTCTACATTCTCAGAAGTAATAGAACAGTTGTCCCAAAGTAAATGATTATATAGATTGAACATTACTAATTGTTATTCGTTTTTTTTTTTTTTTGAGATTATAGAATTATTTATAAATGTATATAAAGAACTATAGAGAAACTGTTGAAATCTATTTGTGGTGTGTATTTTGAAATGATGCAGTTATTATCATAAGATAAATACATGTTTTCTTCCAATAGCATAAAATGTATCAATGCTGCATCTGTTATGTCAGATGTTAAATTTTAGAGGAGTGGTACATTTGTAGAATTAATTGAGGGTCTGTTTGCAGTTTTGTACAAAAGTGATGCTTTAGAAACAAATGGGTTAATTACCAGTCATACTTTAATCTTTTGGAGTAAGACAATGATTTCCTAACTATTAGTAGTAAGTTGTGTACATTAGGAAGTCTTCTGATTAAGATCAGAAAAAAACCTGATTAAAGAAAATTATCTGTGATATTGTTTATATGAGCATTACATATGCCTTTGCATAACCTATAGCTTTGTACTTCCATGTTTTGCTTTATTACATGGCTGCTATGTACTAAATCTTTTGTATATCTTGTTTCTGGTAGAATATTATCCATAAATATGATGTGTGCAATTATCAGAAATATTTCATTTTTCTTTTTCCCTTGTTATGAATGGCATGTTGTATTGCTACTTTGTCTAACAAAATTTCTTGATTATTCCAGACATGAGGAAGCATTATTTTTCCTTTGTTAATTGTCCTTTTATCACAAACTATTTTGTATGAAAAATATATAATGCAAATATTTAATTGAAATTTCATCCTTTTTGATCTCTTAATTAGATTTCATGATCTCTCAATAATTTAACAGAATTTGCTTTTGACCCTAGTATTTAAACACCTTGTATACACCCTCTGCCACATGAAAGTATGGCCTTCAGAACAAGTAAATGGCTATTGACACTGGAAGAATTTATACCAGTGAACAACTTTTGCTTGCCTATAAAAATAATTATATTTATAAAATGATGTGATTAACAATTAGGTTTTCTGGCACACCTTCCCATGGGCTAAAAGTAAATAAATAAATGAATAGAAATCCAGTCCTGTTAAATAAAAGAAAAAGAGTTCTTTACTTGGGTTTAACTGTGGTGTGCAGCAAGAAAATTGTGCCAATAATTTTTTTTAAATCTTACACTGTAAAAAGTACTATTCATGCTACCCTGCATCAGTAACTATTTACTTCACTATGACAGACAGTATATCAGGACAGAGAGGAGCATACCAAGTTGCATACTTGATTCAAAAAGAGAATATTATCACTTTTTTTTATTCTTTAGCTGCTCCAATATGTGTAGGTATGTATGGTCAAGTAGCATGTTTGCTTTTCTTTTTACATTAGGTGTGAAATGTTAATTTTGCCTTGAGTTGACACAAAATTTTGCATTGAAATTTGAATATTTTCTGGAAAGATAAGGTAATATATTTTAATATCTTCAAAAACCATGGTAAATTTGCATTTTAAAAATAAACTACATAGAGAAAGATGAAAGTGAATTAATGCATTATTTACTTTTTGACCTGATAACTGCAATGAACAGTTCAGACTCATATTGAAATGCCCATGCACGTACATTTCATATCAAATAACAAGAGAGCTTGTTTTTTTAAACTTTCATGTTTTTCATTTTTTATGAACTACAAGGATGGCCAGAGTTTAAAAGGCATTTCCAGATAAGCTGGCCTAATTGACAGGCATACATGAAAAAGGACATCAAAGACAGGTAAATTACTAGCTAAACAACCAGTCTGCAAATGAAATCAGTTGTTTGGACAACAGTTTACCTGCCTCTAATATCACATCAAGTATCCCTGTTTGTCAGGCCTGTTCACCTGAACATGCAGGGGTTAACTGAATTACAGAGAACTCAGTAAACTGAAATGATGCTGTAAACTCATTTTGACAATGATATTTTTACTCAAGTATATGAAAATTAATGTCAGGATGATGCACACAACACCCAGCCTATCAACCTCTAAAACGTACATAAAATGTGTGCTTGCTTGTGTTAAGTTACTGTTCAAATGATCCAGCAAAAATTATTACCATGTCATGATATAAATTACAGGTTTTGACAGTGCATGGAGTGCATGAACAGAAACAAGGTCAAAAGTTGGGGCACCATAACTAAATAATCAAAATGCCTGTGCATGCTATGTTGTCCTGCCATGGACATGAGAACAAGTGTACCCTCACACCTTTCCCAGTTGTGGCTAAAGCCCACCAGACACCATTCCATCAAGCAACATTGTTACAGAAAGATATGTTCTGAGGCCACTGCCAGATCCTGTAGATGGGGCCTATAAAATAAGTTTATGTAAATGCATGTACAAGTTTATGGCAATAAACTACAAGCTTGCATATATACTAAATTTGCTGAGCTATTTGCTAAACACTTCAAATGTGGCTTCTATAATATGTTATTGGGGAAACTTTTTTTATCATATTTATCTTTGTAAAGGAAAAATGTATTACTAAGTCAAGATCTGGGTCTTAGTAATGCAATGTTAAAATTCTTAAAGATGAGTAAAGAAATAAATATATTGGATAATTAAACAGAACTGTTTTCTGCAATACATGAAGAAAACATTACAACCATAAGTACAAGATATATTTCCTTGTGTAATTTGTGTATAGATTTTTTATGCTACCTGGACCCCCATTAAGCCCATGCTGCCAGGTGGTATGTACATACATGCCTTGGCTGTCATCGACCAAGTAGCAGTTGGCATTAAATCATGACCATTCCCACTCTGTTGGCTCATCAGACAGAGCATGTTTCTCCAATAGTAGCATCATTATTTCTATGATGAAACTTTTAGGCAAAAGGAGTAAACAGGAGAAACTGTTAATGTGGGCCAACAATCCCAATTTATTGGCCACTAGCCAAATTTTTAACCCATTAAAGGATTAATGGGAAAAAGATACTTGGGAGTGTCTCAACTGCCACTATATAGAGGCCTAATGATATGATGAACAATATGCATATATTTTGAAAGAAACTAATGTATAAAGTGAGCAGATGTATTGGTATAGTATTATGATACTTTTGTCAGTATGTTCTATGTTAAGTGCAGATATTTAATATGTTCCCTTCTGCATCCAGTGGTCAACAGAGGTTTGTAATATTAAGCGTAGGGTAAAATTTGTTTCTATTTTGTTAAATGTTTACATTTTCAGCATTCTAATTTGTGAATTACATTTCACTAAGGAAAACTGTATGATATTCATAACAAGGTTCATATTTGCAAAAATTGCAACTGTACTTTTTAAGTGGCTGACAGCCATGACCTTTGCATAGCGTTAATGGCTTCCTTGGCGTAAGCCAAAATCTTTATTGATTTAAAATTGTAACAGCAGTGTAGCTCAATATAATAGATATATATTTTGCTACATATTTATACCAAAGTTTTAAAAATTATAAAACCTATATTGCATTTATTAACCTGCAAATTTCCATTGCTATCAACACATTATTCAATAACACTGTTAAATTGCCTTTTATTAGCAAGGACATCACATAAGGATTAAAGAAGTAAAATGTCTGAAGAAGTTTAACAGTACAGGGAGGTCCCTTAAGAAAAATAAATGCAATGCTTGGAGCTTTTTATTGATAATAATAATAATGAAAAAAAAAGTAAAAAATAATAAGCAGAACAAATTTCAGAAATGAATACCTATCACTTTAGGTAAGTTAAACATTATTGTTTTCATAATTTTTTTTATTTAATATACATATCTACCATTCTTAGGAGGAAAATTATTATAAAGACACCTTCGCTCAATCTAAATTCAAATGCTATTCACTTGAACCAAAACTGAGCATTATTCTCTTAGCAAAGAATTTATATACATAAAGCATACTCATAAATGGTACACAGTGGCTAACTTCAGTGTCCTTGTTCAGCTGGTTTGCCATAGGTTTTTTCCCACCACTCAACATACTCCTTCTTTCGCTGCTCACGCTTCGCAAAGTAGTCGGGATAGAAAGCTTTCTCCCACGGATGCCAGTAGTCCAGTACCCAGTCAGGAGCACGCACTTCTCGCTCGTATGCAACACCTCCAGGAGATAGAGGGACTGGAAAAAAATTTGGTAAAATTTAAATGAAAGTAAACTATACAAGCATAACATGAGTCTTACCCCAAATAACTAAAATTAGTCTTTTATTTCCTAACTTACTGTTAGGATGCTTAATATCAAGTTCACAGCTCATATACATGCAAAAATACTAACATTTTTTAGGCTGATACTGAATCAGGCTGAAGAGCTCCTTCTCTCCATCATCCAGCAGCTGCTGTGCTACTCGCAAGTCCTTCACATCTTTGTTTTCATCAAACCTTGCCCTCAAAAGAACAGCCCGATAACGGTACATGGGTCTGAAAATGTAGATAATATTTACAGACCTTAAACCATTTACTCATGACTGACTTACCTATAAAATATATATATATATTAATGATAATACTAGTCTAATAACAATAAATAAAATTAACATGAAAGGAAGTCCGAGTTCTGAATTAAAAGTAAAAGTACATTACAACAACGAAATGGGCCACAGCGAAAATATTTCATACTCACTACATTCATGGTCAATGGTTACAAAAGATGAATCTGCCAGACATAAAAGGTCATATTGCACTACAGAAAGGTATAACAGCAAAAATAGAAAAGTAGGGTTAGTTAATGATTAAACATGATACTCGTCGTAAGTCGGATAGCAGTCAGGATGGTAGGGATTAACCCAAACATAACAGGGCCAGAATTTTTAACTCTGATAAGGCTGTTTTTGGTAGCATTGATTGGTTGGTTAGTTTGTTGGTTAGTAGGATAACTCAAAAGTTAGCAAGTTTTATTAAACTTTTAACAGGTGAGTGCCTTAGCCCAACTTAGATGTCATTAAATCTTGGTGGTGATCTGGATCATGATACACAGTCAGGAATTTTTTAAAGGATTCATTAGCATAACAAGATAGGGAAACACAAATGTCACCGGTGTATTTGAGAAAGCGGGGATTTTAATGTAATTCTACAAATGTGATTTTTTTTTTTTTTTATTGCATCAGTGATCTTATTGCCTGTGAGCTGAGTGCTTCTAGTTTGTTATGTAATATTATGTAATAGTCTAGACTTTGTGGCTAGGCCTATGCTGTGTACAGCCAGCCCACCCAATGAGTCATGACATGTACATACACCATAGGCCATTACATCATTACATCATGACTGGTCACTAATGGGTTAATAAGGGTAATTAGAACAAAACTGTCAAAGAAAGAAGTATGGGATTTTGCAAGGATGTCCCTAGGGTAAGGTATGGATTAGCAAAGGAGAAAGGGGATTAGAGGGTGGTAGGATCAGTTCCAGGAAAAATGTCAGGAGGAAGAGAATCCAGGGAAGGGGGTTGTTGTGACAAAGGGTTACATCCCAGGAGAAGCAGAAAGAATAATGGGGATGGAAGAGGGGATGATGCAGCTGAAGCAGGGTAGAATGGGATGTCTTGGGAGGTAGTAGGAGAAACAAGTGTATTGCATGGAACATGAGTAGACGGATGTTGGGAATTGCTATGAGAATTACTATGAAAGTAGAGGGAATGGGAGCAGTGAGATTGGGGAATGGATGAGGTGTAGGCATGTTACCTTGGGTCATGATAAGATAGTTTTGAATATTGAATATCTTCAAGAGTATCTGAAGTGGGGCTGGTTGGGGAGGTTTGAGAAACATACGTTTTCTTACAAGGGGGAGAAGAGGGGACAGATGTTTGAAGGGTGGAGGTAGAGGTTGATGGAGGAGAGGGTGGGTGATGTGGTGCAATGTACATTGTACATCTATTGTGGTTTGAATTGGTTCAGGCCTACAAAAAGAATGATACTAGACCTACAATTGCTGCTGGTAATTGTTTACAATACCTTCACATAACAATTTGTGGTATCACTGGATTTATCTCACCTTCTGCTACCCATATTTGTAGAACATTTGCAAAAGGAACCCTCCCAAACCCCTATCTTCATGACACTAATACCAGGAGATGGTATGAAAGGTACCAGGAAAATTGCAAGCTAAACATATACAAAATTGGTAAGTATAGTCAATCCAAATGGGGGGGGGGGGCTGCTTCCCTAGGCACAAAGAACCCATGGCATATTCATAGCAGGATACAGCATATATATTGGGCGCTCAAAGGCACTGTGATTACATATATCATACATATTATTTGTAGTACAGCAAGATGGAGCAACAGCGAATTACATGGGGATAGGAATGTACAGCTGGCCACAGGGGTTTGCGACCATGTAGCTTGTAGGTTTTTGTCAACGTAGCTGGTAATGTGAAACAGAGTAAGCTGAACTTTTTAGGAGATAACCACTAATACGACAGTCAAATTGTGCTTGTGGGTAATCTGAAAGGATGTTTTGCATAATTGGTAACAATCAGGCATGTAAAATAAAAAAACACCCATGAATGTTAATGAACATATCTTCACATTGTATTGCCAAGAGCCATTGCTTGTGTATGGTGTATGTCAATCATGCAAAAACGTTAATTAACATTATTTTTTTTTCTTTTAATGCCTGACTTTTACTAATTATGCAAAACATCCTTTTACATTATCTACAAGCACAATCATCCATCCACCAGGTCATTCAATTATCATTCCTAGGTTGTATCTTGACGTGTTCATCCTGTATATTGGTCAGACGCTCTAGCCTATTATGAATATGTGGAGGATTCTTTGTCTTCCAGGGCAGGGGTTGGGGGGTTGGGGAGGTAGCAGCACTCTGCATTAGACAATATAGTAACACTGCACATAAAGTTGTTACATTGATGTATTTGTGTTAATTATTACTATTACTTTTACTCCACAATTTCCCTAGTACCTTTCTTGGGTATAGCTTACTTATAGCAACGCACATAGATAAAGGGAAATGGAAACTGCCATCTTATAGAGTGGAAGAAATAGAATAGGATATAACAGTTTAAGCAGCAGCAGCCTCATAGTCACCGCTAAATGATGAAAGTATACCCTGCATATCACTGTTCAGATTCTAAATCGATCACCATGTTTACCTTGCCTGGAATTAACACAACACTAACTGCTTAATTCATTACTATGATATCCAAAGTAGTTCATGTGTTACTACACGCTTGTCAAAACGATATTTGGCTAGTCATCAGTGTCTGCTGTTACACATTTATACTTTTAAAGTCTTTTAATATGTTATTATACTTCAATTACGTATTTAAAAATTTATCTATACACTTATCTAGAATTATCTGCTCATCGTGTGTTTTACACTTTCATTCACCAGCCACACCAGGGTTGACAGATTGGAGCCGGTCATTTCGTGGTGGAACGCTGGTGAGAAATGTTGCATTTCCAGTATTGTGTTGATTCTGGGTAGACAGTAGAAAGAAGCATACGAAGGTTTGAGGTTTCTAGATAAAAAGGCATTTGGTTTATTATTTTATGGTGTGAATGCAGCTCCATCTTGCCATAAATACCAAGGTGAAGAGAATCTTTCCTGGGGGGGTGTTGGGGATGGAGCCCCCAATAACCTTTCCCTTGGAGAGTACCCAAAGGGCACATCTAGTCACAGCAACTTAAACTTTTAGATTAGGCTAGTTTATTGGTCAGTACGTTTTTTGGGGGGGTTGGATTGTATGAATTCCCACTGATTTTGCCGAAAGGTGGGTTGGGTTCTCATAGTTTTTTAATTTTTGCATGTCAGTTTGTAGAATTTCAAAGATGGCAGGTATGTCTATAGAGTTTCACTGGCCGATTTTAAGTGTTTTTTATTGTTAGTTTTACAAATTTTTGTTCTCAAATCCTTTTATTTAAGGCTGTTTTATCCCGTAATTTCCCTGATATACTTTATGCCCTCCCCTGCTATTGGGACTATCAAATCAAGATCATCAATAGAGAAATGGTACACGATCTCAACGATTCATTCGCAGAAGAAGCAGTGCCATGAATCAATGAAATCATTGAATTTCCTGCTGATAAAATCACATTTTTTCGTCTTTGTCTCAGGGAGGGGGCATTGCTATCTGTAACAATTACCCTTTTGTGTTCTCTGCTGCTATTTGGGCCAGGAATGTGGGGACTTTGGGGACTCAGCAGCAAATGTCCTATATAGAGACTATGGGTAGTAGAGAGTAAGAGGAATGCATCAATTCCACTATAATCATGATTGGTCATGCAAATGTATTATTTTTTCTCTGCTGCTCCTCAATCCCTGTTTAGAATGCAAATTCTCCATCATATCTGACTGACAAGCTTGAGGCCTGACAGGTTTGGCAATATTTTAGTTTCACACAAACATTCACTCTTGCAATTATTATCCCTTCTTTCAATTATCAACACTAATAGGCATTAATGGATCGCTTCGTTTTTATCACTCTTTTGGGGATTTGGGGTACTTGATGGCCTCAGAAATGAAACTGTGATAGTTATTAAGGTCTTTTTTTTTCTTTGCTGCTACTGAAACGACAACACTGAAAACAAAACATTTCTCACCAGCCTTCTGTCTCGAATGCCAGGGAATTTTCTTGTCAAACCTGGCAGCCAGAAATGCAAAAATGCACATGCACAGAAGGTTCTTCAGAGCGATTCCCGTAAATAACTCTCTAATAAATCTTTAAGCACGTAAATAAGGTATAACAACATTAACAAAGGCCTTTGAAAACAAATGTGGAACATCTTTTTGACAAATGCGTACATGACCTACTTGAGAGAGCGCAGGAAGGAGTGAAGTAGTCATAATTTTGTTTTCATGGTATAAATTAAAGACACCAATGCACGTTAATAGAGGAAAATGGACACAGCCATCTTATAGAGCGGAAGAAATAGAGTGGGATAGAACATAGTTTAGGCTGCAGAGGCCTCATATTTACCGTTAAAACAAAAAATCGTGGCACTATGCGCCACGCAGACACTAAGTCCACAACAGCCTTACGCAGCCAGAATTCCTTGTTTCTGTCTACATATTCTATAAAATTGTTTTCTACACTTCTCTTTTTCTGTTAATCCATTTGCTATAAATGACACATTTTCTGTGCACTACTTTCAATCAATGTGGAAACATTACCAATTACTAATATTTTAATCCATTATTTAATCTTATTTTTACTAACATTTCCTCTATTCCTTTTATGCTTATACATTAAAAGTATACGTCTACATAATGCAGATATTTTATGATATATAATTTCATTATCATAACCTTGGTTCACTGTTAACAATGTAATAACATTACTGGCTCTTAACATTAATTGTCTCCCATGTCGGAACAATACACAATGTTTATTATTTGAACACACTCCGGTAAGCTCTTGATGTGGATAGACCCAGCAATTTTTCCGTGCAGTGTATGGGGTATGTTAAGATATTTGCTTAAATGTTCATTTTTTATTCATATTTATATTTTAAAGACAATAGAAAAAAAAAGTGCAGTTTTTATCATAATGGGTAAATAGTACTATTAGAAATTAACTTTTATGGAAAGTAAGGGCACTTTTGGGAGAAATATGCTGGTCGCATGGCCTCATATTGGGGGCCCTTAAATGCCCCAAATGTGATAGCAACTGCTGATTTGATAATATATATTCATTAACGTGTAACAAAACCCCCCAAAATAATATTTTTATTTATTTAAGTATTTTTTAATAACCCTGAAATATGTTTGTATCTACATCATGTTAGATAATTGGTATTCAATTAATTTTGATAATATATATTCATTAAGGTATAACAAAACCACCCAAAATAATATTTTGATTTATTTAAGTATTTTTCAACAACAATGAAATATGTTTGTATTTATATCATGTTAGATAATTGGTGTTCAATTAATTTTTTTTTATGGTAAGTACAAGTACTTAAGGGATAAATATAGTTGCCAGACCGACCTCTTGCTCAATCTGTGCCGGTCACATGACTTAATTTTAGGGCAATTAAAATGCCCCAAATGCAATGGCAATTGCCCCATTGATGCCAATATAAATTCATTCAGGTGCGACACCTGAATAAAAAACAAAACAAAAAAAGTTGGATGCAATTTCAAAAAATCCCTTTTTAACCCATTAGCAACAGGTGTCCCATCTATGAGACACCGGAAAACAAACATTGCCGGGCGGCCCCGCCAGTGTGCTGCTGTATCGGGGCTCGCACTCCGACACAGCAGTGGGCCACGGCCAGCGGGCAGACAGACTCCGGAGAAGCTCTGGCCGCCGATTTTGTAGCCGCCTGGAATATTTTATTTTTGGCTTCAAATATACCAGCATGAATGGGTTAAGAACATCTGGTTTGATAACAGTAAGTTTGATTTTGAAACAAACTAAAAATTTGTCAATTTGTATTCAAGACATTTTTGGTAATTGTTGAAGACGGCGACGCACCCTCGCAGACACTAAGTCGAAAAAAAATGATGTTTTTCTGCATGAAATCCTATGATTTCATCGATTTTCAGCGTTGTTTCTTTTGCGAATGAATCGTTCAGGAGATCGAGTACCATTTCTCCATCAACGATCTTGATTTGATAGTCCCGTTAGCAGGGGAGGGCATGAAGTATATCAGGGAAATTATGGGGTAAAACAAGCTTAAATAAGAAGAATAACGATCAAAAATGCGTAAAACTAGCACAAAAAGCGCTTAAAATCGGCCAATGAAACTCTACGGATGTAACCGCCATCTTTGAAAGTTTACGGACTGACGCGAAATAAATAAAAAACTTTACGGGAACCCAACCCACATTTCGGCAAAAAAATCTACGGGAATTCACACATTCCAACCCCCAAAAACGTATTGACCAATAAACCAACCAACCTAATATATCAATATAAATTGCCGTGACTAGGCGTGCCCTTCGGGCACTGCCCGAGGGAAGGGTTGATGGGGGGCAAGCCCCCCAACACCCCCCAGGACACATTCTCTCCACCACTGTATGTACGGCAAGACAGAGCTGCATTCACACCGTAAAATAATAAACCAAATACCTTTATATCCGGAAACGAGAAACTTTCGTCTCTGTACTGTTGGGATTGCTTCGATTTTAATCACCTTTTTCGTCTTTTGGAGCTCTTGATGGGCTCAGATATAAAACTGGGATGGTTACTGAAGTCAAATTATTCTTCGATGCCACTGTAAAGGTTTTAAAAAAGAACCCAGAATCAACACAACACTGGAAACGCAACATTTCTCACCGGCTTTCAATCTCGAAATGAGCGGGTTGGTGAGCTGTCAACCTGTGGCTTGCGCAAGAAAGTGTGAAACACTCGATGCGCAGGATTCGATATGAGGGTATAGATAAATATAAAAATATGCAATTGAAGTATAACAACATTACCAAAAGACTTTAAAGGTATAAATGCGTACCAGCAGACACAGATAATTAGCCAAATATCGTTTTGACAAGCGCGTAATGATACACGGACTAGTTCGCGAACGCAAAAATGCGTTCGTGGGTCAGTGTCGTGTTTTTCCTAGCAAGGTAAACAAGCTCATCGACTTTGAATTTGAAAGGCGGCCGCGCGTTATATTTTCCTCATTTAGCGGTGACTATAAGGCCGGTGCATCTTAAACTATACGCTATCCCCTTCTATTTTTCCCACTCTATAAGATGGCGGTGTCCATTTTCCTCTATCTACGCGTGTCGCGGTCTTCAATCTCTACCACATTTTCTTACGAATCTGCATGGAGCAAACTTAATTTACCAAACAAGACTATTTGCGATTGGTTGAGCTTCTGCAGGGAGGTACTCATTTTTTTAGTACTTTGAAAATCAAGCCGACAAAATTGGTGGGTCAGAGGAAATTATTGTGATTGATGAATCTAAATTTGTAAAAAGAAAATACAATGTTGGCAGAGTAATAGAAGGTCAGTGGGTTTTTGGAAAAGTATGCCGCAAAAGTGAAAAAAAATTCTCGTGCCTGTGGAGACACGTGACTCATACCCATACAGGGACAATGGTCATTAGTGATTGTTGGAAGGCATATAACTGTCTGGAGAAAGAGGGCTATCAACATTTAACTGTGAATCATTCATACAATTTTGTTGGCCCCAAAAGTAAAGCACACACCAATACAATTGAGCATAAATGAAGGGAGGCAAAAGCAAAAGTGCCCTCCTTCAACAGGAGGAAGTATCACTTTGCCTGGTATTTAGCCAAGGCCATTTTCCAAATGATGTACCCGGCAGAGAAGGGAGGGGGGAGATCAGATATCAAGTTTGTGTGCATTGCGTGTTGTGCTTAATTACTTTAGTGATATTTCATTTGTTGCCTGTCAGACAAAGTTTGGCTTGTCTTTCTGATTATACGGCCTATATATTGCTATCAGGACATGAAGTTTGGCTCGCCTTTCATATAATTACACTATTTTACAATGTTTAAATGGTATTTAATTTACTTAGAAATTTACCCCCTCCCCCTTTGGAACTTAGTCTCTGGGAGGGTGTGTCAAAGTCTGTAACAATTACCGTTTACATTCGCAAAGTCAACATGGCAAAGAACCTAGAAAAAGATGGGTCGATCTTCTCTCATCTCTGTCATATATCTCCTTCATTTTCAATCTGCGCACCTTAAGTCATTGATGAAGAGTGTCTTAGTTTCTGTCAAAGTAGTTATTTCATACATCTTTTTTTACTGTAACCCTGACTGTTATCTGCGGTAAATTTATCATATTTTCGTCATTTCACAGTAAATATGAGACTGCTGCAGCTGTTCCTATGATGCTGGTTACTATATTTCTTGTGCTTTAAAAGATGGCAGTGTCCATTTTCCATCTTTATGCTTCTCTACAAGTGACTTGTACGGAAACAAACCACACCACAGGTTCAAATAGTGCAAATCACATGATGTCATATCAGCTGAGGCAATGGTTCTGCAAGGATAACATCTCTTCACCTCACAAACTATTGGCATTTTCATCCAGTCCATTGAGCTATTTCTAAATTCCGGCGAAATTACTGCTACATATATATGCAGATGATACGGTGATACCAACTTTGATAGGTTTTAAGATGCGGACCCCTTCTAGAAATGAACTACCAAAACTACTAGTTCCTATTATCACAAACTTGGCAAAACAAACACAAACATCCGTAAAATAACCCTACTTTCCTGGAGCCGATGGTCGAAACCGGACAGAGTAACCCGATTGCTAAGAGCACCTTTGCCTCCTTCCCTTTCGAAATCTCAACGAGTCTATTACTTGCACCAATAAGTAACTTACCGCCTGTCATACCATGATTCCAAATTTCTGAGGGCCCTTTTATAAAGTGAGCAGACTTTGCGGCTGTGGCAGATCACCTCCGTCTGCAGGAACGACATCTTGAATGCGTCCGAATCCCTGCAGTTGGCATCATTATTATTGCTGATTTATGAATCTTAAATTGGCTTAGGATCATCATCACTATGATTGTTATTTGTTATTGGTGTATCTCTGATATTATTCATATTACCTCATAGGACGCTATCATTAAAAGTGATAACAAATTCATCCGAACAAATTAATTTGCAAACGAAGACCTAGGGTTACCATCTTTACAAATGAAAATGGAAGACCATTTTCATATATCTAGTCAACAGAAGAAAAACAAACTAATCAATATATATAATAATATATATATATATATATATATATATATATAATATATATACATATATATAATATATATATATATATATATATATAATATATATATATATATATATATATATATATATATATATATATATATATATATATATATATATATATATATATATATATGTATATGATATACATATATATACATATATATATATATATATATATATATATGTCATCGGCCAGAAGCAGTGACACTTTAATTTTGCCATTATTAATGCATTTAATTGGTAAATCGTAACGCTTGATTAGTTATGATGATAAAATTCTAAGGGAATAAAACCACAAAATAGAGTTTGGTGGTAGTGAGGCTGTAGTTGTAGGTTGTGTTTATGTTAGAGGTGAAATACTTGTGGACGATCTTGGTGGTTACTTTAACTCGAGATAAGGGCCAAAATACCAAGTCGCCTTCTCAAAGTGCCACCTCAGCATCCATACAACCGAACAACCAGGCCTCTGTCTAGATGACCTGGCACCCCTAGGTCTAAAATTCCTGAAGTCAGTCAGTTCAGGTTGAAACATCATTGAGTGAAGGTGAATCGGTGTTGACTCCTGGAACTCATTTGAAGAATACGGCGTGATTAGCCGTGAAAACTAGCTTAACTAACTAGAAATTAATTCTAGTATTAGGGTGAAGTTAGCTGTAGATTCCAGTTCGTCTTTTCCCCGAAGTTAGCGGAAGCGGGCCTAGGAACTATGGTCAAATTGTAAGTATTATTACTTAATAAATGTATAAGTTCTTTTCACACAGTGTTTAATATTATCCCATTTTGTCATTCCTACATAATAGGACACTGAACAAAGGAGAGAACCACACCACAGAGATACTGGTTGGGTTGAACACAGTGGTACACGAAACAAAAAGAAACAACACTTATACTAATTAAATCACTTGGAGTACATCGACACGAGAAATACAATATCTATTAAATAAGAACCTATGTCTTGAAGAATAATGATATATATGAGTGAAAATATCAATGATATCGAGATATATGTGAAATAGAGTAATTTAATTCATTTTAAGGTTTCCAGAAATAGTGAATGATGAATCAGAATGATGCCATACTGATCTGAAGTTTTAATGAACAAAAATATTATTGAAACTATCTGAGATAACCTTTGATTAACTTACTAGAGTAAAGTAATAACGAAGATTTATGTTGGGGTAACAATGACCCACATAACATATGGTGGCAGCGAGAAGGATTAATAATAGTATTGTATTCTATGTACTTTAAATAAATTGTCAGTATCGCAGCATTCTGGAAGTGTACGGCAACTATTGCAGGCACCGAGGAAAGTAGAGACTGTTAGACTCACTGACGTACTGCATGCCAATGAGAGTGTGAGGGACTGCAAAACTGAGTTTTGATTGGCTGAGAGAACAGAGTGTCTGTAACGCTTAAGTTTTAGAGCACGAGCCGCTATCCAATCAGCGACGAGGAATTGGACGAGCATATGACGTCAGACTACGTAAGGTTGACGTAAGACTCGTAGGACCAATCAGACGACGTAGACTCATGACTGTGACGTCACTGAGCCACTCGCTCGTGATACCGAGAGCGGTAGTCTGAGAGCTGACGCGAGACAGAGAACATCTCTGAAAGTCAATTATTGCATGGCTAAGTCTCCACTATTCCTTAATAGTAACTAGATGAATAAAGTTAATTAAGGGGTAAATTCATGCATGCTTATTGATTACACAGTTCAATATAAAAGGATAATTAGAAATTGATTTGTTTGAGTAATATTTTGGTTAGTTATCCCTAAAAGTTTTCTTTCACCAATAGAAATTCATAAGACGGAGTGGAGGGCATACTAACTTAACACACTACAATTATACTAAGACGGCTAATACAAATATATAACCTTTTATTATATGAATGGAGGTTTGTCCATGGGTTATGAGTGTTTTATTTTTTCTACTGTCTAGTTTGTTTTGTGTTTTTGATGGTTAACTAATTACGCTTGTTTTCTTGTGTTTACTTGCGTTCTTATTGGTTTTCGCACTGAAGTGACTACAATTAACGATGGACTCATAAAGATTTGTAATATTGTTGATGCGGGTGACAGTTCATGTCTGAGACAAGATCAAAAATCGTTAAATTCTTTAGAAAACAATCCTATAGAGGAGCTGTACGAAGAAGAATACATTTTCACTCTTAGAGAAGCTGAACTACTGCTCGACGTAGCAGAATCACCGGGGAGGAAGATAACCCTTGTAATTTACACCCGGTTTCGTTAGGAAAACGCAAAATGGACGCGCGATTTGAGCTTTTAGAGGAACAAATGCGCGGCTTAGCTGCACAATTGCAGCAAGTGGTGGAGATGCAATCTCGCAGTCATCGAGCTGCAACAGAAGACACTTCCGAGGCTCAATCAGCTGAAACCACGGCTAATGAAGCACCGAGCCAAGCTGGAACTACGAGACAGTTCAGTACAATGGAAGTATTCACCAGGGACAAGAGTGTTCCCATGTTTACGGGTGGGGAAGAGGGCCTCACCGGTGGGGAATGGCTTGCCCGGGTGGAAGCAGAAATGAAAAGGCGTAACATTACGGAGAAATAGACAAGACATTGTTCGCCTTGGGGTACGTTCACACGGAGAAAGGACCCGCTAGAGTGTATGCACATGAGGTGGGAGCTGAAGGAGTCCCCTACCGACGTTTCAGCAAGATGATCCTTTCTCGGTTTAGTGAAGGAAGAAAACCTTGGAACCGTATCCTTCGAGAAGCAGAGAGAAAGAGGGGTGAGACATACAAAGAATGGGCCAAGACACCAAAGGCTCTTCGACTAGACTGCATGCTGATGAAACATTGGCCATTTGACGGAATTTGGCTGAATATTGTGATGGATACTCTCTATGACCATATGGTCGGAAAAGCCGTAGCGAAATATCGGATTGAAGGGACGGAAAAATGGGACCATGACCGTCTAAACTCCATGGATGCTGCCGACTTGATTAAAGAAATTGGAATTTGGATGGAGGATAATCCTCTACTCGACCAACAATTCCAAACTAAGTTAAGCTCCGGGGAAGAAAAACAGCCATGAAAACCAGAGTCGGTGCTGTAAAAACAGAAAGTCGATCCATGAAAGCGAACGGAGGAAAAAAGTTTCATTGTCCAGAACATGGCTGGAATAAGACGCATGGAAAGGAGGATTGCTATAAGCTGAAAGCAGCCGAAACTTCTTCAACACTGGCGGCAGATAAGCCGCAGAGGAGAGAGAAAAAGGGCAATCCATCTAGCATGATGACATGTTTCCTGTGTCAAAAGAAAGGACATCGGCGAGCCGAATGCCCAATCCAAAAGGACGTCGAGAAATTATTGGCTTCAAAAAACGGAGCCAAGCCGTCCAAGACGGACGGCAACACGGAGTAGAGGAAGGAGACACCAGAGAATGGAGGAGACCGTGGACTATCGCATTCCCATGCTAGGACCACCACCTCCAGAATATATGATGACTGAAGTGTTTGTACCACAGAATGACAGAAGTTTTGTCGCTGTGTGGGACTCTGGTGCAAAACCCAATCTGGTCAAACTATCACTTTATCGGGCACATGAGGACGTGAAGAAGAAGGACTCTACGAGACAAAGAGACGTACCTTCTCCGCTAGTTCCCCATAACGTGACAGTAAGTGGTATCCTTGATGCAGAACCAGTGAAAGCACTTGGACTGGCCAAGATGACTTTCATTATTGGGGGAAAGCAGTTTACTGGTGATTGTTTTGTATTCGAGGATCATGCAATCCATTTCCCAGGTAATTGTGATCTGCTTATTGGACGGCCTTTATGAGGACTCACAAGCTGGATCTAAGTTTTCAGTATTGGAGGGTTCATCTTAAACAAAAGCCATTGGTGGAGTGCCTACCTACCCCCATCGATGATAAACAGGTGCATGACATAGCTGGAGTGGTTGATCAACCAATTAACGCTAACTGTGGAGATGCACCGATGACCTGTTCTTCTGATGTGGCATTCAACAGTGTTGCCGACAAAGAGGACACAGTTGTAATAGTCTCTACTGGGGTTTACACCCTTCCTGCTGGGAAGGCATCCATCATTTTAGGGAGCCTTAAGCAGAAGGACGAGAGACTCAAAAACGGAACCTCGATTTTAATCAGTGGGTTACCGTTGGGAGAGAACTGTATCGTTATCCCTGTGGTAGCCAAGGCAGAAGATGTTGTGAAAGTCTTGGTCTGCAACTTCGGTCGCACACCGTTCTTGGTTCATAGCAAGAGAACCATTGCCAATGCTGTGTCTATCCAAGATGATGAAGAGGAGCAGCTGGGACGTTTACCGACCGACCACTGGGAAAAACAACGAGTTCTCACAAGGATGAGCATCAATGCCGTGGTCACTGAGGTGAAACCGGATGATGTAGAGGAAGAGGATCCCCTGGATCAAGCTCTTCAAATTGATCCATGTTGTGTGGTGAAAAACGGGCCAGTGTATGATGAGAAGCGCTTCCAGAAACTTCTGAAAGCACTGGACGCTGATCGCTGGATCCTGAAGGAAGACCAACGCAAAGCAGCAGAGTCCATGATATGGGAATTCCAAGAGGCATTCAACCTTAAAGAGGAACCTTTAGGAAGAACCAATCTTGTTGAGCACAAGATAGAGACAGGCGACAGTGATCGAGTATATGTTCCACCTAGGTTCATCCCATATGCTCTACGACCTGCTGTGGAAGCAGAGGTCCAGGCTCTGAAGGAGCAAGGCCATATTCGAGTCAGTTCTTCTGAATGGAATGCACCAATTGTTCTAGTGAAGAGAAAGGACAAATCGCATCCTCGGCTCTGTGTAGATTACCGGGCTTTGAACAGCCAAACCAAGCTTGAGTTCTACCCTTTGCCACTGATAGAAGACATCCTGTACCAAGTCAGTCAGAGCAAATGGTTTTCGACGCTTGACTTGCGTAGCGGGTACCATCAAGTACCACTGGATGACGACTCAATACCGAAGTCAGCCTTCACCACCCATGAAGGACATTTCGAGTACACAGTGATGCCGTTTGGTCTGTCTAATGCACCTCGAACGTTCCAACGCCTCATGAACCGAGTCTTCAGTGGCCAAATCGGACAAGGGTTGCAGTTGTTCTTAGACGACATAGCTATATACACGGATGATATTGATAGGCATCTACAGGTACTGAAGGAAGCACTGGGTCGGTTGATAAAGGCTGGACTAAAGGCTAGTCCTGAGAAGACACGATTATTCCAACAAGAAATAAACCTTTTAGGGCATCGTGTAGGGCATGGGGAAGTTAAAGCGGCGCTAGACAAGTTAGCTGCTGTAAAAGACTTTCCCACACCCAAAAATCGACGTGAAGTAAGACGATTTCTTGGTCTAACTGGGTATTACAGACGATTCATAGAGAAATATGCCCAAAAGGCCCAACCTCTTACAAAGTTGACCTCAGAAACAACCTTTCATTTGGGAAGTG